CGGGGCGCGGCGGGCCGCGGCGCGGGCTTTGCAGGAAGGCCCCGCAGCCGTTGAAGCTGTTCCACGGCGTTGGGAGCGTGCGGGTGATCCCGTGACCTTCATACATGGGAGTGGTTCGTTCCCAGGAAGCGCCGTCAGATGCGCGAGTTCACGTGTTGTGAAAGGGCGAGGTGGAAGTCCGCTTATTAAGCGTTAAAAGTCGAGTCTTCATCTGCTGATGAAAAATCAGGGCAAAATGAAGTAATTTGCAAAACATTTCAAATTTTTAAAATATGTATTCGTTTTATATTTAAATTCCAAATGTTTCTTAGATGAGCTAAAGTGGAACCACACAGGAGCTGTTTTAATTTTTGTGAAGAAAGCATTATTTTAAGATGTACAAAATCCCTCAGTACATAGTAATATTGGGTTTTCAGGACAAACTGTAAAGAAGAGCAGGAAATGGAAAGAAAGCTGAATGACTTCCAGACCAAAAGGCAGAGCAGAAAGGTATGTGACAGATAATATTTTTTTTCTTTTCAGCCTCAGCGTTTAGTGCTGTTTATAGTTACTGAAGAAATAGGTGGGAAAAGGTTTGCCGGAAGTTTATTAAACAAAAGAGGGAGCTCTTCATACACCTGTCCTGGAAAACTAGCTTTTTCTTTACCACTTTTATTCACTAAAGTAGTTTTTATGCAGAAATATGCTTAAGTACTGTTCTAAACAGGGATCCTTGCTAGAGGGTAAGAGGGATGTAAGAGGAATGGAATGCTTATTTTCATTACTAGTGATTGAAAGGGTGCATTTGTGACAAATTTGTACATTATTGTTTACCAGAGAGTAGAAGAGGTGAAAAATAAATGAATGAGAATATAAATGTGTTGCCTAAAGCAGAATATAGTAAATCATTTAACAAAAAAAAATCATAATATCATGACAGGGTTATTAATTGAGGAGAATAAACTAAAATAGATATTTGAAACATTAATGAGTTAGTATTGAGTGGGGTATATTATGAAAGTACAGGTCTCCTGATAGCAGTGTGAACAGGACTTCATCAATGGGCTGGTGAAAGCAGAAGGACTTTCTGCTTCTGGGTTCCTTTTTGTTGGTTGCTTGTGTTTGCCCAGTTCTCCATCAGCTTGGGCAATACAAAACTCAGTGTGCAGGATCAGGTCCTTGCGAGGATAGTGTTAGCTCTTCGTATTATCGTTCACGGTTTTGACTGTCGGTATAAGAGGCTCTTGCTAATGTAAGAATCTGTTGCTTTATGTCTGAGTGTTCTTTTTAATCTAAAACCTGTAACTTGTTTTTGCAGAATTTTAATTAGGTATGTATGTATCAACAATATTCTTTATTTGTATATATTTATTTTATAGATACATATATATGCAGTAAAACCCCACTTGAGTTTGTCAAAATACCAGAATTGTAGATACACAGGAAACTTGAGATACTAAAGACATTTATTATTTAAGGCACTTCTTTATTATTTAAGATGCAAGGTTTAAAATTTTGTTTGTTATTTGACCAGCTATGGTTAAATTAATAAAATTTACCAAACTAAAAAGTTGCCACAAGCTTGATGAGGTGTATTAACTAGGTAAAAGCTACCTGTTTTGTAGCTGAAGGAACTATGACCAAATGGAGTGAATAGCTGGGCAATTGAATACAGCCTTATGATCATGCTCAAGCTGTTAGTGAATAGGCAGCCTTCAGCCTAGTTTCTTAGTAAGCCTGTAGAACCATTGGCAAGCAAAGCAACATCCCAGAAGTATCTCATGGCCTTGAGGTGATGGGATTTCTTGAAGGAATTCTGCTTGCTGTCCTTTTTGTGCAGCTCATACGTCAGCAGGGTGACAGTCATTTTTCCAGCTACAGCAGTCAGTATTGTTATCCATTTTAAAAACACATCCAGCCCCAATTTAAATGCAATATGAAATGTTAAAAAAGTAATAACAGATATTTAATAAGCATGCTTTTATTAGAGAATTTTGCATAAAGCTTTACGTGTTTTCAAAATACATTCTTTAAAGATTTGTAGTAATAGTTGCTAAGTTACATGACTGCTGATTGCGACAAACAGCTCATGTACAATTTTGCGTAGATGTTAACAAGAAAATACTTTCTTTTCAGAGCTTCAGACGTTGTACCGTGAAATGAGACTCCTTGTCACATGGCGGCTAATCCAGTCGTAGTAGCTGGCCACTTTTGTGTACACACCAGGATGACCAGGCTCGCCACAGTTTTCTCCCCAGCTCACAACACCCCAGACGTAGGCCACATTTTCTGCATCAAAACAGACCAACGGTCCTCCCGAGTCACCTTTGCAACTGTCTATGGAACCATCGTAAGTACCTGAAGTGCAAGAAGTAATAAAAAGTGAAATTAAGTTCACATGTAAGCTAGCACACAACATGGAGCTCAGGGGGGTTTTAGGTTGCCTAAACCTAGGGTTTTGGGTTTTAGGTCACAGATAACGGCACTTTATAGCCATCAATAACAGAGGTTCCTAATGCACACAGTTCATTCCTCCTCCTTTCCTTTAAGTGCAGGGATTTATTTTATGTTTATAGGGGACCAGATTTTCTTCATTTGCTCTGGTGTTATCATGAGTGAATCATGTGAATCTTGTTTTACTCTGTATTTTATATCATTAGAAGTTACCCCTAAAAAGTGAACAAAAGCTAGAAGGAAAAGGTACAAAGACTTGTAACATGGTTTCCTACAGGAATTAAAGGTATCTATGTCATCATACTGTGTGTAGGCCAATGTGTTGGCTTTGGTGTCCTCTCTGCCAAACAGTTTGATCTAAGTTTCACAGAGGGGCAGAGGCTTCAGAATTACATTTCTCTACAAGTTTGGTGGAAATAGATGTGCAGATATGGGAAAGAGCATAGGGATGCTGGGGTGAGGGGGAGAGCAAGCTGCCCAACCAGTACAGTCTCAGTCCAAGTGTCTGCCTTCTGGAGCACCAGGTACCTAAGGTGTGTGTGGGTAAGAGTCACTGCTCATTGCAGCTTTCAGTGATCAATTTGGCAAATATGATGCCAGGAAACTTGAAAGAGGAATAAAGTTCTCAGCCAATAGAAAGCATATTTTCTGGCCAGATTAATCTTGAAGATTAACAAGATTAACTTCTTGAAGAAGTCTTGAAGATTTCCTGCCAATATATCTGATCTTAGAAAGAGCGTTTTTGATGGCAACTTTAAAAAATATAATAACAAAAAATTATTGCTTGCCTGCACATGCCATTTCTTTAAAAAAGCGTCCTGGATACAATTCAGAACAATTTTGAAATAAATTAACGTTGCCCCACTTTAGGACATATTGTTTGGTATAACCTAGAAAAGAAAAGAATATTTTTTCTAAATTAGAAATAAGGGCATAGTAGACATTTTAAATATAATTAATATCATAAAGTGAAAGCTTTATATCTGCTTTTCTACTGAATATAATCTTCAGTATTATCAATCAGATAAACTGCTATTAACACTCTCCTCCTGTGTACTGTAGTACGTTAGCCATATGGTTCAAACCAAAAGCAGAGTGGTTTAATTGCAGCATTAAATTCAGTGGTTTCATTTTGTGGTATTTTTACTTGCCCCTTGCTTGACTGCTCAGTTGCTTCTAGAGCCCATGCAGAACAAGCAGTTTCAACAACAAAGAAACACTTATAGTTGCTTGGGAAAAGTATTTCTCATCATGACGTGATAAATCCTCTTTTGTATGCCCCCACTGAGCCATCTCTTCCAGTTTTACCTCACTTAGTTTCCCCTAACATGGATGCCCTTCCTTGCTTCTGAGCATGTTACCTTTCTCTGAGCTTTTCCCAATTTTACTATGTCCTTTTGAGATGAGGGGACCAGATATTAAAGATACAGGTGAACTCTGCATTCACAAGGTTGAGGAGGTTCTCTGTCCCTTTTGTAGTAATTTCTAACTTTGTATTTGCCTTATGGCTGTTACTGAGCATGGACAGAAGTAGCTTCACAGCCAGCATGCAGTAGCTTCAATGCCAGACTGTGATCTCTTGGTAGCACAAAACAAACGCTTTGCAAATCTTTCAAAGTGTGACTTTTTTTTTATCTGGTTTATCTGTCTCCATGCAGCCTTCTCCGGGTTATGCTCAAACGCAGCTGGGACAGGGTGTGCTGACTTTCAAACTGTTGGCAGCAGCTCAGGTCCTTGCGGGCTGGGGACACTGAACTGGCCTTGGTTTTGGGCCACAGTGAGCTACCACCTGCCAGTTGTTAAATACCTTTAGCAGGTCTCCATTTAAGCCACTTCTTTCATATACCCAAAAGGTACTGCACTCCTGTTGTCTCCTCTGCAAAGAAGTATATATGTGAATACTCAACAAATAATGCTATGTTTGCTAAGGGTGGGGTCTCCTTCATGCTGCCGCCTCATTCCGGATGACACAAATGTCTGTGCTACCCTGGGACACACCAGCTCAGGGAGTGTAAATCTAGCTGAAAAATCAACATTTCTTTTTGTTAGGGTACTCTGTAACCAAAGCTATTTCCAGGCTGATTTGCTAAATGTTTGGCACAAAAAAGGAAGCTGCCGAGGAAAGAGAACAAGCAGGATGATGTCCAAAAGTCAAGTCATGGCCTGTGTGGGTTTTTGTTTGTTTCTTTTTCGAGAGGTTTGCACATGCTGCTCTTGAGCCTTTTCAAAATTAAACCTAACAACAATTTGAAAAAGAATTATAAGTAATACATACTAGTAATAAGCAATGTCAAGTACCTTTCTCTAGTCCCCACCCGGAAACCTTGCATGTGTCACCAGACTTGAACATATACTCTGACCAGGGAATACAGGCAGGTGTGGTGTATTTTAGGGAGCATTCTCCTTTTCCAGAACTTTTCAGCTCCATCAAAGCAATGTCGTTTTCATAAGTTGAGGCGTTGTATTTCTCGTGGATGATTAGTCTTTTTAACTGGTAAGTATCTGTCTCTTTGTTAAACCGTATTGTATCCAACAGCCCAATCCAGATCCGGTACAGATGAACTCGATTTGCTCTGGAAAAAAAAAGAGCAAAATATTTTAGGTGCTTAACATGAGCGCACTTGTATCTTTTCACTAGCAGTAAACTTTTGCATTTTATTGAAGTTTTTTTTTATATAGAAAAAAAAATTATATACATATAGTTTCTTTCTGGACTTGATGTCCAGGAATGTCTCAAGTTTCTCAAGCAAATGCAAAGCAAATAACACTTATTGCTGAGCACTGCAACTAATATTGAAAAGAATGCTAACGTCAGCATCTGTATTCATTGCTTTCACAAAGAGAAAACAGAGGTCTGTGTCTCCTTGATTTCATATAAAATAACAGCGAGAAAGTGTGGAAGGGACCACACCTGCTGCTTCTGGGGAGTATGTTCCTTTCAGGGACAGATGGTGGGACAGATCCCACACCTCCCCAGAGCAGAGGTGATCGGGGAGAGGGGAGGCCCCTTATAGTGCCCTTCTGTGCAGGGTGGTTATGCTGAGCCTTTCCTGCTTGCCCCGTGTCTGCCTGAAGAATGCTATGGCTCCTCAAATTCAGCATCACTTTTTCATCTTTCTATGCACCGTCAAAATTATCTACCTTCTCTGCATCTTTCCCATCGTTAACTTGGGTGAGCTAGTGTTCCTAATTGTTTTATTGTCTAGGCAAATAGGAGTCAACAAACAAGTAGATGAGAAGAGCAGTAATCTCCAAGTTAATTTTGCTGCCTTACAAAAAGGAAATCGTTTCCCAGTTTGTTCTTTTTACCTGACACAGTGTGCAGCAGTCAGAACCCAACAGCCACCAATATAAACCCCTCCACAGTACACTGTTGCACCTTCACTGCCAGTTTCTCTAATTGCCACTTGCCAAGGGAATTCACCCTATTGAAACAACAAAAATCCAAGTACCATTATTTTGTAATCATTGTGCTGTTATTTGTAGTGCATAAAGGGTTATAGTTCATTGTATCACCTCATCTCCTTAACTGTAGCTGGCTGTAAATCCTTTTGGGTTGCTGCCCAGAAATTGTCCATGAATTGTGCACAGAGGGTGCATGTTCCAAAATACAGTACTTCTGCTCACTCTTGTCACTTTGTGCACTCTCTCTCTCCCCCCAGCTTTCAATCAGAAAACCCTTCCAGCCAGTGAAACAGGATTTGGAGTCAGGAATGTAGGATCTGACCCAGTATGATCAAGTATAGCAATTTATGGCTGTAGCCTGATTCAGAGGCTTAGGTTTAAAATCTGTTTTATCAAAATTGTAATATCTAGCTATCATATTAAGTATTTTACTGAACTATTGTTCTAGTATTTTGCTGAATCATTTTCAATATATCCTTCAATTATAGCACTCTATAATATTTTATTTACGAGTTCTTCTTTTTACATGAATTTGGTGCAATACCACTATTGTTGCTAGTTATGAAATTAGTGTTATAGCTGCTTTTGCTATTTCCAGGCCTTTGAACAGAAGGACAACAGTGCCCATTTTAAATTGATACTGATTGAACTCTTATCTAGTAAGGAGAGTTTTTTTGGGTTGCTTTTTTACCTTTTTTGCAGTTTTCCCACCTATGATTCTTTTCCGTCGAGTTAATGTGTGATTTGTAAGACCGCAGTTTATTTGGGGAAGAAATGTCTTTATTCTTTTTCTTTCTTTAAGAAAAAGGAAAAATGTGTCACAGATTTAAGGCACTACATCAAAAACTTTAGAAACATAATTCTTACATCTCTGTAAGATGACAGTTATCTTTATTTTGAAAACGTGAGTGCTGTGAGTATTATAAGTAGCTGCAGTAGCAGGAAAGCATAGACAAAAAGTTTCTGCAACTGTTTCTACTTTGAAAATTGTGTCTTGCTCTCACATTA